TGAGCGACAGAAAGAATAATCCTGAAGAGATGACCTGATGTTGAACTGTGTTTTGCAGGTGGCCATAATCCACCAATCAGCACAGAAGGCTGGAGCAAGAATCACCAGGAATTAGCAGACTTCTAAGAGTCAATTCATTCTTTTAACTCATCCAACTCAAATCCCGTATGGCTGTCTTCATAAATCAATTCAGTAAGACAAGAAGTCATTAACTGCCCTCTATATAAAATATTGTTAAACACTGGAGATAGAATAAAAGATAGTTATTGCTCTTGAGGGAATATAATTCTGTAAGGCATATATTTAAATAATCTCATGAGAATGAGGTAATATCTCAACAAAAGACTTTTTCATCAGACTGTAAGTAAAAAGATTATTGGAAACAGACTATTAATCTCCAAACTAATGAGAATTCTAGCAAGCTGTGCTTGGGAGAAATGAACGACCAAAGTTTGTATGTATAGGTTAACCACTGATGAGGGCTGTATGTAAACCGTTCAGTGAGGGTTGTATGTTCACATTCTCTGATGTCCACACACCACAGCTCTGTGGTATGCTGAAAAGAGCACTGGACCAATAGTTAGATGATCTAAGATAAAGTTCTGGCTCTTCCCCTGCAATTGTTTTAGGTTTAGACAGTTTACTCATCTTTAAGGTGAAGGGATTGGAGATGATTTTCCTAAGTTCCTTTGGGGCCCTAACATCCCAAATCATGCTACTCCATATCTGAGGGATGATATATGTATAAACAGAGGGACTTTTAAACTGTTAAGTTAGATTCCCCATATTTTGGTAGTGAAAGAGGATGAAGGAAAATGTTAACTCAAAGAAAAATAGATGATTGAAATGCACTAGGCCTTACAGTTTATAAATTTCTTAATCAGATACCTTGCTTGGTGATTACAGATCACAGTCATTTCTGTGTGAATTAAAGGAGGATCTGGTGCTGGATCGTCTATCATAGCATCAGATGATGTTTGATAATCTCTCAGACAAGGGATAAATGTTAAGCTCTTATGTAAGATGTAGAGCTCCATGGGTGTCAAAGAAACAGAATTATACTTTTAATTCAGTTGCAAGATGAAACATTATGAAGTAAAAGGATGTGCTTACCTTAGTCTAGGTCAGCGGTTCTCAACCTTCCTAATGCCGCGACCCCTTAATACAGTTCATGTTGTGGTGACCCCCAACCATAAAATTATTTTCGTTGCTACTCTATAACTGTAATTTTGCTACTGTTATGAATCGTAATGTAAATATCTTCTTGTTTTCTGATGGTCTTAGGTGACCCCTGTGAAAGGGTTGTTTGACTCCCAAAGGGGTCGCGACCCACAGGTTGAGAACCGCTGGCCTAGGTGGTACATCCAACACTCCAACCACTTGCAGAGCGCGAAGGTGAAAGCCAGGCTCTGTACGTGCTTCAGACACCTACTTGGAGAGGTCACTTACTCTTTAACTCCCTCTTCTCTCACCCTTTCCCATTCCAGTCAAGCAGGACTGGATAGGAAATCCAGACTTTATGCAGTACTGTATTTAAGGTGCTTTAAAATCTCACATCAATCCCTGACTAAAATATGCTACATAAACTGACCAAACAAAAGAAACAGAAGGTCTACTGACCTTTGGTTTTCTAGGAAAAGGAGGGAGAATGCACTGTGATTAACGTTTTTGTTTTTGTTTTTTTGGTCTATTCTGGGGTATTTTAATTCTACAAGCAAATTAAGGCTCATTGAAAATAAGAGCTGTTTTTGCTCTGTTTTTTTAAAGCGAAACATTCCCATCTCTCTCTCTAGAAAACTTCTCTGAACATAAATGCCTAAAAAGCATAAAACTGGATTATCAAAATGTTCATGGCTTTGAATACCTCACCTTCAAATTTTCTCTCAATTTTCCCTCAGACAACTACATTAGATAATACTTTTTAAAGGCTTTAAGAACTTTATTTTTTCCTCCTACTTGAAGGAGATTCCATTTCAGTAACAGGACAAAAAGATGTATTTGAAATGAAGCATTAGCCTGAGATAACATACCTCCCACCTGCCTCCGGAGCAACCTGGATTTCCGATTCTTTGAGCAGGTCAGTGATTTGGGGAACCAGTAAAAGAGCCGGGCTATTCTTCTGAAGCTCTTGTAAAAGTCACTTCTTATGGCCATAGCTAGAACTACGAGTGTTCCAGAGCACCTCGCTGCAGAGAGCATGCATGAGGAAAACACAGTAACATCCACATATGACACTTTAGCTGTGAACTCTATTTCAGCCAGTATGTCTGGGGACCACCTGTTAGCCCTAAATCCCCTTTCCCTGTCACTCCTTTGGTGTGTCCTTTAGACCTTAGCCCTCACAACTAGAAACTGTATTAATAGATGTTCTTTCTAAAGAAAGAGTTTTAACACTTCAGAAACTCTAACCTAATGATACAACACTTGATGATTCTTAAGCCCAGACACACCCCACTATCCTTCTTCATAAAAATACACTTACTTTCATGGAGGAGCAAAGTAACCAATACCCACTAACTCAGCATCCAACAGAATTGTCAATGGCAATTCGAAGGATGTAGTGGTGATTAACAAGCTACTAGCCTTGATCCATTTGTTCTGTACATTTTCCACTGGAAAAACAGTAAGTATTTTAAACCTTGGCAGGAGTTTATCCCCCACCCCCACCCCACCCCTAAATTCAACTGATTCTTACAAGTCACAAAATGTATAAAAGAACAAAAGATTTTTTCCAGGGCCTGTTTAGGTCTTTAACCATTTGTTGAACATTTATCTAGATCTTTAACATTATCTCAGCAGACAAAAATGTTTAGTTGCCTACTGTGCAAATGTGACTGAGGTTCTCGTCATTACCCCTGAAACTATATCCAACATTTCTGTTTATGTCAAAAGAAATAAACTTATTCATAGCTTGCTTAGTCTCTAAAACAGCCTGCTATAAATATTTGGGCTATGCTTTCACATGCCACACTAAATTTTGGGGGCTGATTTATACTCTAAAAAAACCTAAAGGATATTATTATATTACCAGTTTTAATTTCCAGGTCTGATGTTTTTGTTTTCTATTCTATTTTCAGTGTTTCTTAGGAATTTGGACTTTGAGTCTTCTTATAAGTGACAAGTGGGGTGGAAGTCTAAGTAAAACCACAGTGTAAGACTTTTTTCAGATACTTTTCTCTTCTTAAAAGTGGGACGTAGGGTAGTGAATCTAGCTAAAAACAATAATGTTAAGACTTCTTTATATTTTCTTTTCAACAGTATCTGCCCCAGAACATGTTTTTAAAATTTGAGTAACTATTGGGTCGTCAGGAAAGACATGACGTATTTTTCTATGTTTTTCAATGCAAAAATGTGTCATGACTTTCCTGATGACCCAATATAAACTTTCTGTAGCACTTCCTTTAAGACAAAGCACAATGTGTAAAATGCATTTCTGAATTGGGTAATCAGAAAAGACTAGCTCTGGTTGTGGCTGTGATTTTGAAGGGAGAATAAATTTTTGACATTTGAGATTGCTTATTCCTACTGATAGTCCCCTTCTTAACTCCAAAGTTATTTTTAGCACAAAACACTACAAAAAGTAATGTTCATTGCTTAAAAAAAAAATAACAGAAAATAATTCAGGATTATTGTAGTTTTTTTCCTGGATAATGTACAAATGAAGATTTTATTTTTAAGGAAATATTTTGAGGAAAAGATCTATTATATCTAAGAGACATTCTGCTTGAGACAGTGTAATGAGATTTGTAAGCTACTTATATAGTATTTGGTAATTTTTAAAAGAATTGAAGCCAGAACTTTATAAGATGTTATCGCATTATTTTTCACATTTCTTCCCTAACCTTTAATTCCTTTTTTATTTCCTTGAAAACATCTTTTTTTCCCCCCACATGTTCACCTACTTTATTTTTTATTATTTCTTCTGCTGTTAGAACTATAATCTCTTTTATGTTGAGTTAACTCCACTAACTCTTCTATTTTTTATATACACTATTTTTTATACCATCAATCCCTATCTTTTGGAAATATATTCTAACATTGTAAAAAAGCTACAAAACTGGAGATGCAACTTATTTTAAAGCTAATTTCACTTAAATAGTCATTCTGAAAATTAGGTTAGCACACTGGTATTTATTACTTTGTATTTATTGACTTAAGATGTTTTAAATGAGGGTACATTTTTGAGGGTAAAATATTGAAATAAAAATTGCTTGGTTTCATGTTACTATAATAGGTGTGAAAATTAATACAGGAAACCTCAATTAAAATTGGAGTTGGAAAAGCCTGTAGAGGGAGCTGTCATGCCCTACTACTCATCAATTACCCCAAACAGGAAGAGACTTACCTTACATCTCTAAAAGGAAGTGTACATACCCAGCAGGAGGAAGATTTTCTTCTTGCCCAGAAACAAGCCCATCCAACAGAAACTGCCACAGCTTAGCCAATGAGAAGCCATCGTCACCCTGAACTCTTACTTTCCTCCCACAAACTTTCATTTTTCTTTTGCTAATGGCTCACTTGCCCCATCTTCCTTTCCATAAAAGCTTTACATTCTGTATGACTTACTTGGAGTATCTCTCTGCTTGCTAGATAAGATGCTGCCCGATTCATGAATTAATAAAGCCAATTAGATCTTGAAATTTACTCAGTTGAAGTTTGTTTTGTAATATGTGGAATAAAAGTATAATTCTTAACCAATACAAATATGGTTAGTTTTTACCATATACAACTTATAAAAATACAATCCCCAGAGCAAGGGTTTATCGGTATGCTTTTCTAGAGTCAATGAAATAAAAACTAAATCTGCGAATATAACTAGCTGATCACATGGTTTAAGTAAAATTTTATCTAATGGTCAGTGATATAAACATTTAAACTATATAACTGAAGACATACACATCTTAGGTGGTCAAATGGAAAATTAAAATCAAGAGGGATTGTACACTCCCTCGCTACACACACACTCAGACTAAACAGGTATTTGAGAGAGGATAATTGTATTTATGTAAGTCATTCAACCCATGCATTTATTTCTATAATGTGTACATGTCACACTTAAAATTCCCCACCACAATGCATCAATTTGAGATTTCAAATAAAATCCTGATCCATTTTCAGTTTTCCAATGTTCAAGGTAGTCGAATTTATTTACTCTTTAGGACATAACTTTATGATATACAGGTTGTACATAATCACATGTCAATAATCTGATAAATCAAAAACCAAAACAAATCCTGATTGGATAAAATAATTTCTTGCTGAGCATAATCCTATACTCTAGAGCTTTGGGTAGATTTTTCAGGCAATGTTCCCTTTGGATTTTTATAGCATAAATTTATGAAAGAATTTCTATTAAACTTGGAATTAATGGGATTTGAAGACATACAAAATTGTCCCTTCATCAAATATCCTGAGAATTTACCATCACCACCCATATTATTTCTTTCAAAAGGTAACTCGTTTCTCAAACTGTTGTACACAGAAAAATATAAATCTTTACATTAAAATTGAGAAATTCATAGACATTTTCCATGAAATAGTAAGCAGAATTAAAGACATATATCGCTTAAAACAGTTGAAATGATCCTAAAATTTATATGACAATTTTAAATTCATGGCCAAAATAAAAGTGAATAGTTTTTAATAATTAAATCACTTAAAAATATTTGCTCAGTAACTTATCTACAAGTAAACAGACATGAGGATAACTGGGTTCTGGGCACCTTGTAAAATGAAATAATGCCACTTTATCCTTCTCAAAAAAATTGTGATCCTAGTAAAACAGTGGTTTGGTTCTGCTCCGCCCCCGCCCCCCCAAAGCTACCTCTTCTTTCTACCACTTACAAAATGTCAACTATCAGCCTTCTGATTTGTAAGGTTGCCAATTTTGGTTTGATTGAGAAATGTTTCCAGTAGGCAGTCAGAGATATATGACTCAGTTAGCCTTATGCAGAAGAGTAGAGGATCAGTATATCAACATAGCAGTCATGGCTTTCTTCTAGTGCTCACTGAGGTCAAATGTCCTCATATAATTATAAATGTTAAAAGGTAAAATTACATCTTAACAGCAGCCAAAAATTTATATATTTTTTATGTATTTACAATATTGTACATATTTACATCATCACATCAAATACTGAATTGTAGAAACAAGAGATCACCTAAATGAAGCATTCATTTTATGCCTCAGCATTATTTTCTTGTGCAAACTGAAACTTTTCCCAAACTTCTTAGAAAGCTAAAGACAGTCAACATTGCGAAGGCCACCATCCATGGTTAAAGAGCCAAACCTAAAAACACAGAAGAAAAATGGCAATCTCAAAAGATTCATTTATCCAGCCCCCAACATTTTAAAGACGACTATAGAATACTTTTCAGAGAAATCAGCTTTTATTTTTAAATAGTTTAAGCAACTATGAATTGCTCTATTTCTTACTGAAACATAACGGTATTACAAATATGTGAAAAAAATACAATTCAGTGGTTTGGGAAGACTTCATAAGAAAAAATGGGGAGTGATGTAATCTAGAAAGTGTTAGGAATAATTGGATAATTTCTTTTTGGCGGGGTGGCATTCTGAAGCAAAAACGTGGAGTTGGAAGTAAGTGTAACATACTCAAGGGACAGCAAGAAATGGAACCTTGCTAGAACAGACTGCTATCATGGGGCACAGTAGGAAATAAAGTTGGGTGAACTGGCAGGGGGAAGACTATTATATTCTTTGAATTCAAGTATGAATTTAGACTTGACCTGTTAGGTAACAGGAGTTTAGACATTTTTATGCCAAGGGAGAGGGATGGAAGATTATTTTGGCTGTAATACCCGTGACAGATGGAAGAGCCTGGGGTTGAGGAAATAGGTGGTAGTTATCACCACAGCTCACATGTGAGGGGTAAAGAAGACCTGAATGAGACTGATGAGGTGCAATATGGAAACTTGTTGAAAGATTACCAACCTTGATGAAAGGGAGTAAAGAGGAAGTGTCTAAAATAATTTATGTTCCAGGGACTGGGAGAAAGGTTGTCTCACTGAAGAGAATAAAAAATTAGAGGGAAAACTGAGTTGGGAAGGATGATATTAAGTGGTTTTTGACAGAAAAAATCTGAAGTGATAATGAGATATCCACATGGAGACAGTGCACAAGACTTGGCTTCTTTACTAGTTCTCGCACAAACCCTTAAGTAGTCACTTAACATTTAAGTTATGATTATGCCATGTTATATCACCCATATATTGTCAAATAAACCTACAAATAAAACACAGGAGGAAATGGCTCATTGGACACGCTTTGGGAAGTGGGGATTTTATTCCATAAGGCATAAGTGATTCAATATAAAAGTTTGTTAAAGTATATTTTAATAGTCTCTTCTACTTGTTAATCTTTAGCTTTACAGAATAAATTTAGGATTTAGCTAAAGTTGTGAAGAAACTATAAATTGCATACTATAAAAAAATAATTACAATGTAGTTGCTATAAACCAACAGGAAAAAAGATTTTTAAAACCTAATAGGTGAGTCACAGGAAAAAATTGAATCAACATATAAAAGGACGCTTAACATCATTATAAACCAAAGAAACGCAAATTAAAACAAGACATTTGTTTTTAGTAAACAAATAAGCAAACATTTAAAAAACTGATAACATTCAGTGTTAACAAAAGCATAGTCTTTTTCTGTTTGGGACAACCACACACACCTTTTAAAGAACAAAGTAACAAATGCTATCAAAATTTAAATGTGCATACCCTTTGACCCAACAATTCCACATCTAGAAATTGATCCCTCAAAAATTCTTAACACAAGTACATGAAGATATATATATATACATATGTTCACTAAAGTATGGTTTGTTATTATGAAAAATCAGAAACAACTTTAATGTCCAACAAATAGGGATACATTAAATAGATATGGTAGACCCATACATTGGAATACTAGGCAGCTGTCAAAAATAAGAAATATAGTTTACATGTACGGACTTGGAAAAGTACCCTTGATATATTATAGCCTTAACTGAAAAAAGTAAGACTAAACCAGTATGAACAGAATGATTTCATTCTTATAAAACACACACATACAACAATTAATAGTGAGTACTTCTGCAGGGGTGCAGGGGCATGAGAAAGGGCAGGTGGAGTCTTTTATTTCCAAATTTTTACAATTATATATTGTTTGAAAATTTTTTTTACAATTCATTATATTAAAATTGATAATACTATAGAAGTGTCTCATAACCTTCTGCACATAGCACAAAAATCAAGTGATTTCCTGATAGGGAGTCTTGCCAAGCTTAAGAGCATAGGTATAAGGGGACAAGGTTTTATAAGGAGATACGAGGCTGGGTTCTAGCTCCAGCTCTCTTCTCGGGGTATGAACTTCAATACTTGCAAACCATGGATAAAGACTGTCTGCTCTGCTACTGTATAAGGTTGCAATGCACGTTAAGTGAGATAATGCAGTGTGAAAGTGCCCTGCAAGTGAACAGACAGCATATAAATGTGAAATATTATTATTAGCAGAGGAACACCTAAGGGCTTGAATGAGAAGGGTGCTATTCTATGAGAGAGCCAAATATGGTTTAACTTCTGAGGAACCAGGATGAGGAGACAGCCATCCCAAAGTGACTTTATTGGCTCTGCACGTTTTCAAATGCTTTCTCCCTGATTTATTACGAGTCTATAGATAAGCAGACACCCAACTCCTTAAAGAACTGCACTTACAGATGGCACTCACCTGCAAGGTTTGCAGAGGGCTCTGTAAATTACCCAGCACCAATCAGAGGGCTGGCATCTTATAAGCAACTCTGATACTAAAATTAAAAATTATGATTCTAATGAGAAAAAGTTATTTAAAATAATGGGCAAAAGATTTTCATTTTTACAAACTGATTCAAATAAAGCAAATACAGTAAAACCTTGGATTGTGAGTAACTTGGTTTGCGAGTGTTTCACAAGACGAGCAAACATTTCTATTACATTTTAACGTGGTAAATGAGTGATGTCTTGCAATACGAGTAGTTTGTTTCTGGAACAAATTATGCTCACAAACCAAGGTATCACTGTAATTCTATTAACCAGTGCTTCTATAAAATGGCATCAATCATAACTAACTTGTCTTTATTCAATTTAAATTAAAATTAAATCCAAATTAAAAGGCGCTATGGAATCACAAAATGTAAGGGTTCTGACTTTATATCCCTTTCCCACTGCTTAACCTAGTGAAACAGGAAGACAGAGAGAAGTATAGATATGTATGCATGTGTACTTGGCTGCATATAACAGCACAGGACAGAATGATATCTGCATTAACTCACCTTTCTAAAATGTGGTTATTTTCAGCAAGTTCTTTAACCACTCCTTCCATTTCTTCTTTTAATTTCTTCATACTATACATGCAAAATAAAGGTAAATAAGCATCTTTGCTCAAAAAAGTATGCAAATGTTTTAGAATTCTATTTACTCGTATATTATATTTTAGTTCTCTAGATTGAACTAAGTCACTAAATAACATTAGCAAATGCATTCACAAGTATCAAAAATTTCAATATAAAAGATCAAGATCACAAACTGAAATAAAAACAAATGGGAACATCATAGTTACCAAATAACAAATGTCTTACCCAAGAGTCATTTCTACTAATGTGTTAGAACATGGATAAATTGGGGTCATGGTATGTTTGATTCCACTGGAGGCTTGAAACATTTTCTGAGGCAAAGTTTCTTGTAACTAAAATATCAAAAGGCCTCACATTAATCACAGAACAAAGTATTTACTACAGATCTTAAATCAAATATTACAGGCTTTCATAAGCCCTTTACAACTTTACGTTTTAATTTTAAAAGTACCAATGAAACAATACTTAAATCAACACTGTTTTAAAAAACTTTTCCAATAGATGATTAAAAAAATAGTCTAGCAGATGTTTTCAACTGCAAAACATCTAAGTTCTTAAAACTTGGCTCAAAATACATATCACAAACGGGCAAGGAGAGCTGACACAAGACATATTATGTCCTATTTATCAATCATAATCAAATACAAAATGAGAAGAATTTTCTTTTCACTTTTCCTAATCTGTATCTCTAGCTTTTTTTGAGATAAGGAGGAAAGATTTTTTTCTAGATACTTTTGATAGCTGTACCTCATTAGTATAGTCTTGATACTTTGATACTTCTTCTTCAATATCAAAACACTGATTAGTTAGAGATAGTAACTGTTTCCTAAGATGAAGCATCTTTCTGAAAACCAAAAAAGAATTGATTAATAAGCAATCTAATGAAATATTATTCTTACTTAAAATTTAAAATATACATTAAATTGTATATTGTGATGTCAACCACTAAGCACCCATCCCCTCCCAAAGTTTACCTACCTCATCCATTCTTCTGACTTATCCAAAAACGCCTCATACTTTTTAACACACTCATCTGTAAAGTGGGTCATAGCTTTTGTTGCATGGTGATACAGTTTTTGCCTGTAATTGAGATATAATCAGAGGCTTAAACCAATGTCACCGCTTCTATTTCCAGTATTAAAAAAATTTCAATATATAAAATTTGTTTCCTGTAATGACTGCTGTGACTTTAGAATATGTACGGTAGAAAGCCAAAGGTTTCTAAGATAGACTTTATGGCAGCAAAAGGAGAATGAGAAAAGAGTACAGTCAAAAAATATTTATGGAGTGACATTAAGGCTAAGAAGGTGGCTAAGTCTGTCCTCGCCTATGTCCTCTATTTTCTGGCTTTCCGCAACACAAGCACATGAGGCAGGAGAAACCTGCTCCCTCATTTCCCATCTCAGAAAGCTCTCAAATGGGGCCAGAGGAGTGAGCCACAAATATGAACACATAGTAATAACTGTGTAAAGCTAAGATTAAAATGTATTTCTAATTGTAATTAATTTTAACTTTAAGAAGAAGAATCATATTAATAACACAACCAAAAATAATTATTAAACATCATCTGGACACTTACTTATCAAATTTGTGGATTTGTTCTTCATTATAAGCTAGTCCTAAAAATAAAAAATATATATTACTTTTGTAAATGTAGAATCATAAAGTTGCACACCATATTTTTTCTTTTGAGACTATTACTTCTAAAAGGTGAAGAACTTAAAACAGATGTCACAAACTTGTGACCCATGGGTTAGATATAGCCCACAAATGCTTTTATTTGATCTGTACAGTGTTGACATTAAAAAGAAATTTAACTGCCAACATTTAAAATCAGGATATGTCTAATAAAATCTGTATTTCTAGCTTTTCTTGAGATACAGGAAGACTGAGCAACAAATTAGGAGAATTTGAAAAGTGGCTCTCCCCTTTAGATGGGAGTATCTCCTCTCCTCAGTCTCCACTGGCCAATCTCGTTCCTGTTACGTGCCTGGTCTCTACAGGTTTTAGAGCTCATGACCCGATTTCAAATATTGAAAAGGTTGGTTTCAGAAATAACATTTAACTTCTTTCCTGACAGAATCAAATCTCTTTAATAAATAACTTAAGGGGCTACCCTTACAAATATACTACTTCAACTGAATTACAACTGGTAGGGCTGATTCATTTGATTAACGAATGGCAAATTTTACTTACTACGTTCTGCTTTGTCTTTTTTGAACTGATAGTAAATCTCTGTGATGCAATTTAACAGGACTTGTAGCTTTTCTACACTATTGAAGGAAGAAAAACCCACATGAATTTACTGAGTCAATGTGAAAAAGAACATTTAATAATCAGAGCAGAAACGATCGATGAAGTTATAACCTACTGTCTATCTTTTGGATGAGTGCCTTCCTGATGGGCCCAGGTATCCGCCAGCAATCCTCCTGGAGATAATTTGCTTTCGGTATCCTGAAGGCTGGTTTCTATTGTTCCCTGAGAACTGGAAAGCTAAAGAAAACCAATGGGCTCAGACCCAGATCACCAAAAATCAAAAATGATTATCACAATGCCAATGGAATCTAACGCCTAAATCATAATTCTTTTATAAATTACTTCAAAGTCAGAATAATTACTTTTATCTTTAAATGCAAGGACTGTTTCTTAGGTTCATTTCTACCAACAGTGTAACAATAAAATATGAGACTAGTATTAATTACATTTTAAAAACATTTCTTATATTGTGTAAACTTTTTTTAAAAAACATACAAAATACTTCTGTTTGTTTATCTGTAAAATATGGTTAATACTCTATCTCACAGAGCTGTAAAAATCAAATAGGAGAACCATTAGCATAGACAGTCCCAAGTATAAAATCTAGGTGTGCAAGATTGTGCTCTGTTTAGAGGCCAGAGAAAAGTAATTCCTCTTAAAAACAAAAAATGAAACCTCATCTAAAATCCTGTTCATTTTAAGCTTAGTAAATTTATCACTTATCTACCACAGAACTAAACATTTGTAAAACTTTTAAAGAAAGAATAAAGTTTCAACTTAAAACAATAAATATATCTAAATATTCTAAGGGTCCTGATACATACTATTGCTTTTCAAATAAAGTTTTAAGTGGTGGTTTACACACACAGGCGACAAACAAGGGCGCCCTTTTTACTATACTCTTGCTGGACCGGCAACCTCAGCCTCTCATGGGAACTTGTTAGAAATTCACGTTTTGGGGCCCCACCTGTTGAATCAGAAACTCTGATTAAGCCTTACTAATTTTTTTTTTTCCTTAAAGATTTTATTGGAATTGGGGGAGGGGAACAGCGCTGGGGAATCGGGGGAAGGGGAACAGACAAGTTGCTGTCCTTTTGTTCAGTCTAGTTGTGGAGGACGTTGCTTCACTGGCCCATGTTGGTATTATCATTGTGCTCTTCCCGGGTGAGGCATATCGGTCGCCGGCCTCTGGACAGCCGCTCACGGCGGCTCTTGACAGCTCACACCAGCTGCTGGCCACTCACGCTGGCTGCCAGCCACACACGGTAGCTTATGGCAACCCTCTGCACCAGGGGCTGCAGCCTACGCTGTCGCCGGCGACTCAGGCAGCCCAGCTCCAGGTTGAGCTGTTGTTCACCATCTTAGCTGTAGAGGGCAGTGTCACTGGCCCTCATGTGCGATCTGAACCGGGGCCCTGCTGCTCAGAGCTGGCGTCCCAAGCCAGCTCTTAACCAATGTGCCACTAGGCTGGCCCCAAGCCTTGCTAATTTGAAAGACAAAAACAGTCTCTTACTATAATATGCAATTTTCTATTACTGTGAACATTTTTTCAAGTTTCGTAAGATCTCTATTTTTAAATCATTTCTAAATGTTCTTTGTGTATTTACTGTAGATTCAAAATATGGAAAATAGTTTATGGATAAAGTTATTTTTCACATTACATAAAAGTATGAAAAACAGCAGGTGACCTGAAGGACCAACAATAGGAAGATAATAAGTAAAACTATTAATAAATCCATTTGGCTGTATGCAATATTAAGTCTATAAAAAATAGTGTTACCAAAAACAAAAACCAAACAAACCAGAAAATGCTTTTACTATAAAGTTATACAAAAAATAAAAATAGTAACAATTGTATGTTTGTAGTGTAACCATAATTTAATAATATATATAAAAAGAGAGGACTAAAAACAGTGGTCGTCAAAACTTTAGCAGCATCGGAATCTTCTGGAGGGCTTGTTAAAACACTGACTGCTGAGCCCTACCATCAGAGTTCCTGATGCAACTGGGGGCCCCAAAATGTGCATTTCTAGTAAGTTCCCATGTGAGGCTGAGGCTGCTGGTCCAGGAATTACTCTGAAAACCACTGCTGCAGGACACTGAACAGAATGGTATCATTTCTACTTAAAAATTTTATTTTTATGGTGGAAAAAAATTTAATTAGGAAAGGAACCACAACAACTAAATAGACTATGAGGAAAAAACAATGCAATCTAGTGCAAAATAATTGGCCTGAAGGTAAAGCCCAGATTTCATAAGACTCTGTGTTCTTAAGCTATTTAATCACCCATGCTTCAATTCTCAGAGAATCTAAACCTTCACAAAAATGTCACAACAATGAGAAATACTCTGGGCTCCCCGAAAGAAAACAATTTCAATTCAAAGTGCTCAAATGATACTGTTACTGGAAGTGTCCATTAGGACCATGAGCTGGTAAATCAAGTTCTAAGACAAGAGCAGAAAAAGATCAGAAAATATTTACAACAATATGACCACCTATATTAAATACAAACAAATATTGGGGAGGACTATTTCTTGTTTCTCTGAGTTTTAACTGCTTTATTCTATAGCAACATTAAAAAAATTTTTTAATCATGACCCAGTCTCTTTTAAATGTGTATATATAACTGAACTGAAAGTTTCATGGAACAGTAATTTATTACATGTGATGCATTCTGACATTTTCTATTCTATTTCATTCAAAAACACTGCTGACTGCAGTGCAGTAAACTTTACAGCCTACTAATTATTCATGACATATTTTGAAAACCACTGTTCTAGATCTAAAACTGAGGAAAAGAAACTAAAAATCAACCTAAGCTGTGAAAGAGAGAAGAGATATCATATCAAGTTCCTTTTTACTTTTAACATCCATTTCATGAAAGAATACTTCAAATGCTAAAAAGCTTGAAGGAGTATAGGCTTTTTATTTATCTCATTTAATTGGTACAACAACCTGTGAAATAAGCAGGGTAAGAAACTGCCCATTTTAAAGAAAAAGAAACCAGGATGCAAAGAATTGCCTAAGTCACCAGGCAGAAATAGCTAGGTAAATAGGGGCAGACCTGGCATCTGTAATCGGCTCTTACAATACCTAATTTCATGCTCTTCTATAGTACATTTTAAAAACAGATCCAGAAACTACCTAAAATGCTATTGTATCTTTCAGCAGGGTAGAGATTTTGTCCTAATTTCTTTTTTTAGTTATAGAAATGATTCATTGCCTTGAGGAACCCAAATCTTTCTTTCTTTACTTTTTATTTCAAAAATATCTACTTTCCTAACTTGAGTCTATTTCTAACCAAGTTTAAGCACTCTGAATGTTAAAATACATTTATGAACTTGCTTTAATTGCCATAGCAGCCACACAAGAGCAATTACGAATTTTAAAGAGCGACAGGGAGAGAGAAAGAGAGAAAAGGGCTTAAGGCAAAGCAGGCTTTTGGAAATATCATAAGGACTGTATGGTAGTAATGGTATTTAAATATTGTAAACAGTTCCTAAAAATGGGAAAAGACTACTCTTTCTCCTGAGAGCTTTAGGTACATCATCTCTCTAGAAACGTTTACATCTCATCTTGCCAGCAAAGGAATAGACTGTGAGCCTATGACTGTCATAATTTTATAAATACTTACTCTCAACAATTTGGTGTGTATGTCTGAGATTTCATCTAACTCTGCTGATTCTAAATTGATCTTCATCAGCTTTTCATATCTGTATGGAAAACAAGTATGGAAAAGTAAAAAAGCAGAATGAACACAGAGATTTAAAAAGACGTTTTATAAATTACAGCTGAGTTTTTATTATCATACCATTTAAGAATAAGATTCTGAATGCAAAGCCTACAAAGCAACAGATTCCAAGAAAACTTGAGGTCTTTGTAAAGAAAGAATCTTACATACTTATAAATTTGTGGATTTAGAGATAATATATAAAAGACAACTTAATTTCTAATAGTCTGATCAGAGTCAAAATGCTAGATTTCAGAATTAATGGCGGTCAACAGTAAATAGTGAGTTCATTAATTGTATTTCCTGTGCAATACAAATAGAAGAGCTGAGGAAGAGGGCAGTTTAAAATATAATTCTGTTTCAAAAGAAAGTCTCAGGGATAAGATTAATAAGTATAATAAAAGTAATCCCAAAATTCTAAAAATATTACCAAAATACACTTCTAGAATACTTCTTCCTAGTTCCTTTGTTGATTACAGGTTATTTTATTTTCCTACTCAGAGGGTCTGCTTTGCAGGGTAAAAAATGAGACATTTCTATCTCAGGTTACCTTTTCCTTTGTAAAGGGAAGGGGAAAATGCCACCCAAGAGATGGGATTCATTTCTTACTGAGACAACTGGATATATGTGCCTTTGTGAGGAAGTGAGTTAAACTAAGGTTGTGCCTTAATACAAACACTTGTATAGTGTGCTGTATGTGCCAAAAATAGCTAAACAAATTAAACAGAAATGTAACAATATCTAGCATGTGAACCACTATTAGTAGGGAAGTAATCTACTCACACTTTCACAGTTTTTTCAATGTTTCTGATGCAGAAATCCAACGTGATCACAACTTCTGTCTTTTTGTGAACAGTTTCATTATAATCATCTTTAACTAATTCTCTAAAAAATAATATTATTCTCATTAGTTTATCTAAGGAATTATTTTCTCTTCTCTATCACTAATTACACTCTGTCCTACTGTTCAAATTTTTTAACAGTCTTGATAAATTACAAAAGCCAGTTCACTTTTTATTATAAAAGCATCTCTGTGAGCCTTATACATATCTAGGGCATAAACCATTACTACTTACTAGGTTAACCATTTAGAAATCTAAGGCATTAAAATTACATTAAAAAAAAATAAAAACTAATCTACAATCACACAAATAAGCTGAACAGCATGACATTTTATACCCCCAGAATTAATTTTTACTACTCATAGTAGATTGTCTGATTTACACTTTAAATCAATTTAATGATCTATGAAGAAGCAGGATAATATAGTAAATAACAGAACTGAAGGGTTTTTTTGTCTGCATCAAGGGTCAAAAACTAAGGCCTGATGCTTGTTTTTGCTGAGAATGGTATTTGCATTTTTAAAGGTTGTAAAAAAAACAAAGAGACCTTATATAGCCCACAAAGTCTAAAACATTTACTAACTGAAAAAAAAAAAATGTTTGCCAACAGTAGTTTACATGAAAAACTATTTTCTCATGACTTGTTAAACTAAAAGCCTAATAAGTAAAAGGAATAAAAGCTTCATGGAGCAGTAACTGGGGTAGATAACAATAGCAAGAGAAAATGAGAATGTTAGTAACAATACTATGAAAATAAATGGGAGTCAACACTTAGATTTCTCCAGAAACTATTAGTAAAAACAATGAGGCTTCTTAATGGAAAAGAAAAAAGCATAGGCTTACAAACTAGATATGTGAACACATAATAAAAAAAAAATTATAAGCATAAATTTTGGGGTTTAACATAAAAGTGACAGAAAAAAAAAGTCTTATTCCTTTTTCTTCTTAGAAACAGCAGCAGAACAAGCATGGTGAAATGCTTCACACATGTTTCTGCAAGAAGGGAAGGATAGGTGTGAGGCGGGTATGCAGAAACTGTCACAAGCATTAAAGCTGAAGATCACTATGAGCCCCAGAGAACACGAGGCCATTGCTACGTGTGCATAAAATCCAAAAGTTTCAAATGATGTGAAGAACTAGTGGCATGGTTATCAAAAGAGACCATTTATTCTCCATTTCTATCAGATGGAAAGATGACATCTACAAATCATGAAAGGTAAACAAAGGTCAAATCATCTTCATCCACAAAATATTTCCTAGGTCATTTTCAGGAAGAGAATACTGAACTAGATGATCAATATTCTGACCTAGAACAACTACCAGGGGTGCCAAAAAAATGTATACACATAACCTGTATTCATCTTTTGTTATTGGTATATATCGAGTATTACAATTTTAATATAGTTTTTTCTTTCTTAAAATGCATATACATTTTTTTGGCATCCTCTGTATATTGATTAGCAAAAAAAGAAAAAAAGAAAAAGCTTTTAAATTGCTTGTCAAGGTGACTGTACTTATACTGTATGGTTTCATTTATATGAAATGTCTAGAACTGGCAAATTTATAGCAATATTAAGCATATTAGTGGTTGCCTAGGGCTAGGAGGTTATAGCAAAAATGGGGAATGACAGCTAATGGGTGTAGAGTTTCTTCTTGGGGTGATAAAAATATTTTAAAATTTGTGGTGATAGTTTACACAACTCTGTAAATGTACTAAAAATCACTGAACTATACATTTAAAATAATGGATGCATTTTATAGTATGAGAATTATATCCAAAAATGATGTTTTTTAAAAAAATGCGGAGTGTATACTTCATTTGGGAAAAAGGCAGGAAAGAGAGGAAGATACTGAGGACATAAACCCTAGAAAGTACAGGCTGTACTGCATTACAACAATGACAAAAGCCTTCTAAGACAGTGAGATGACAACTGAGTCAAAGTCCTTGGAAAAGTAATTTATTTGCCATCACATCAGTGTGGTGGTGTAAGTTTTAAAGTTATTGTCCTGTCTCACAAAGTTATTGCAGGAATCAAATGAAAACATAACTGCTAAATGTTTTGTAAACTAAATGTGAAACAAATGTATTATAATAAAAATCAAGCACCTTACCCTACCTACTCTGAGGAGAAAAAGTATCAATGATGGGGTGGTTACCAGTTATTTAGTGAGGTCTATGTGAAGATCGATTTTCAAATTTCAATCTATTACTTACATCAGCCATCGTATCCCTTTTCGCATTAGTTCCTGATAAAGCAGCAAGGTACTGGCAATTCTACAGGCATAACATACAACTCCTGTTATTGCCTAATGAAGAAATACAAAATGTCAATATTTGGTGCTAACTGTGGTACAGGGTAGGAAAAACTACATACAAATTTTCAAGCTTATGTATTTTTATCAAGTTATTAAAAACACAATTAACCACCAATTTCTAAAAGCTAAGGACAGATATAACTGCAATAAACATTTCATCCTTAACATGATAATATTAAACATGCATCGTCTCAATAGAAAAATTTTTCTTGTAAGTTCAAGAAAGGATATAAAGTCAAGAAGAACACAAAATAATTTGCATGGATAATAATTTAAGTGAATAATTCCCTAAATCATATAGGCATATATGAAGACACAATACATGTACTGCTTCCAGTATTGATAGAATAATTTTAATTCAGATGTTTACATAGTAATTTAATTAAATACTAACCTTAGCCATGCTAGCATCTCCATCTAAATCATAACGCGGATGTACTTTAGGGAGGGAAACTAAAACATTGAAGTAAAATAATTAAAATCAGAAATTAAAAATTTTAAATAAATTATTATATCCTTTATATAGCAACCTCTAACTTAAACATTAACCTCTAAATTACCACCAAATTAAACATTAGTGGCAAAACTCTTTCATGTTTTTTTCTTAAAAACATTAAACATTTCCTTAAAAACATTAACATTTGGTTAAAAAAAACAAACAGGGCTGGCCGAGTGCTCAGTTGGTTAAGAGCTTGCTCAAGAATGCGAGCTCTGAGCAACAGGGCCACTGGTTCGATTCCCACATGGGCCAGTGACACTGCACCCGAGGTGAGCCACTGCTGAGCTGCCAACAGGTGACAGGATGGCTCAGCTGGTGAGAACACGTGCTCTCCTAACAAGGTTGACTGTTCGAGATGGTGGGCTACATGCCCACCTGCAACTAAAAAGACTGAATTCAGCACCTTGAGCTGAGCTGCTGCCTGGATGGCTCAGTGGATAGAGAGTGTGCTCTTAACAACAAGGCTGCCAGGTTCGACTCCCACATGGGATGGTGGCTACGCTCACCCACAACTAATTGAACACAGCATCTTGAGCTGAGCGGTGCGACTGGACTTGGAGCTGAGCTAGCTGCGCCCTCCACAACTAAGACTGAAGGACAACAACTTGGCTGTTGTCCTTCCCCAATTCCCCAACACTATTCCCCTCCCCCAATTCCCCAATAAAATATTTAAAAAAAAACAACAAAAAAACCCCACTTAAAACAATAATGCTCATTCTGTAACAAATTACCTGCGCTATTTCTAAGGGGTTTCATTTTTTTCTTAAATATATTCCAACACAACAAGCTTGACAATTTTCTTTAAGTCTAAATGAAATCCCAAAGATCCAAACAGAAAATTTGAAATCTGGGTAGTTTATTTTTTTCACCAGTAGGATTAATTTAAAAGATTCCAAAAATGCAGATCTAATTTTTCTTAAGACTCTAAAGCTTGGCAAAGTGTCCTAGTCACACTGGACAAAATAAATATTTGCTAAAATTTATGCTACAAAAGGTTATTTTGAGTGTTAGTGAAATACTAAAAATAGAGCTAAAGTGAAACATACACGACAAACTATTTTACCACTTTATAAAACCAAATATTTAATGTCAAATGATATTGCCTACAAGGTTTTTAGATTTTACTAGTCTTGTTCAACTGATTTACAAAATTTTAATGTTTATGAAAGATCTACATTAATGTCATCATCAATCAATTTTATGAAGATGACAATCATTTTTACAGGGTTTTTTTTTCAAATGGCTAGTAAGAACAACAGGAAACATCCCGACTTACTTTTTTCATATAACAATCCTATGGTACTCAGAGGTTCTCGGCTTACTACAAAGATAGGGTTTTCCTCAGTAGTTTTAGGGAAATGTTGTGCCAGTCTTCCAGGTTCTAGAACTAAGCGTCGTCCTTCATATATAAGTTCTTGATTTGAAGAAATAATTTTGGTTTGTTTATACACCAGTTCATGAAATACAGTAGCACTGTGTGAGAAAAGTCCAAAAGGACAACATACATGTGATAAAAAGAGAGATGAAGTCTTTTTTTAATGACTGAGTACAACATCCACTGCTAAGAGATATTTTAGATCATGATCAGTCCATAGATACTACAAAGTCTATAAACTAAAAATTCCACATTAACTCTATACAGCAATCAATTCTAAAATATTTTTATGCTTGGACACCTATATTGGATATGCACAATATACAGGATTCTCAATATACAAACATTCTTAATGTTTAATAATGGGGAGCCAACATAGCAGGGAGCTTAAGAGCAGTGACTCTGAAATCAGACTATCTGGGTTCAAATTCCAGTTCTTACACTTACTTGCTGAATTACCTTGTTACTTAAGCTAATTACTTTAAGTTACATAGCTCCTCTGTGCTAAGTTTCCTCATCTATAAAATGGGAATAATAGCATCTATCGTACAGATTTGTTGTGAGGACTAAATGACTTAAATATATAAAGAATTGAGAATATTACTTGCAACATGTCTATATAATGTTTGTTAAATAAATTAATAAAACCAGGTATTTTCAAAATGATGTTTTAGGGGAAAAGGTAGATTCTCCCTAAATCTGTGAAATCAAAGAAATGTTTCAGCAGCAAGTTGTGATTTGTCTCTGTCACAAGCCTCTTCTGCTGAGATTTGGCTCAAACTTGGGTGGGTTTTTTAAGTTCAAACAGACTCTTAAAATGAAATAGTGGCCAACACCTAACTATGATATACATTATTAAGGCTATTGAGTATACCAAAATAAAGATGAATATTGTATTTTAATTTAATGTTATATTAATGTTATTTTATTCATTATACTTACATTAAATGTTTATATTATATTAGACATAAATATTAGATATTGATATCTAAAATATTATTTTATCTAATGAATGTTATTCCTTAATAAATTACTAGTAAAAGTCTCTTTTTGAGTTTATATGAGGCATCAAAACTGCTATTTGAGGGGTGGCCGGTTAGCTCAGGTGGTTAGAGCGCAGTGCTTGTAACACCAAGGTTGCCAGTTTGATCCCCACATGGGCCACCGAGCTGCACCCTCCACAACTAGACTGAAACTACTTGACTTGGAGCTGATGAGTCCTGGAAAAACACACTATTCCCCAGCAAAAAAAAAAAAACCAAAAAAAATTAAAACCAAAACAAAACTGCTATTTGAATCCTGTCAAAACAAAAACTCAGGCATATCGAATGGATGTAATGTTTTCTCCCTTCATTTTAAAAAACATTTCATTTTTGAGATCACTGTGGATACATATGCAGTTGTAAGAAATAGAGAGATGTTATAGACACAGTTTCCCATAACAGCACCATCTTGCATGAATACAGTACATACAACATTACAACCAGGATACTGATGCTGATCCACCTATCTTATTCAGATTACCCCCGTGTTACAAGTAAGTGGGTGTGTATTTACTTATATGCGGCTTTATCATATGGGTAGATTTTTTTATTTTATTTTATTGGGGTACAGTGTTTTTCCAGGACCCATTAGCTCCAAGTCAAGTAGCTGTCTTCAATCTAGTTGTGAAGGGCACAGCTCACTGGCCCATGTGGGAATCAAACCAGCAACCCCGGTGTTATGAGCCCGCGCTCTAACCACCTGAGCCAACCGGCCTGGGTAAATTTTTTATAACATGGATGTAATATGTTTTTGTTTAGGTAAAAAAAATAATTATTTCTCCAGCATTCAATAATGGCTTTATGCCACATACACAAACAATAACTGCACGAATTACATTTAAGATTTATGCTTTAATATTTTTTCAATGACAGGAAATAGTCTTATAAAACTTGCAGTTCAAGACCAAGCTAATTTACCTGTAAATTTTTGAAAATGAGAAAATTAATCCTTTTATTCCAAAGATAAGTGAAAAGGAATTTACTAAGCACTCAAACATAACTAAGTGGAAGTGGGTGCCTTTGGTGAAGCTAAGGCATCTTCTCTATCTCCTCTTCTAATTTAAGAAAATAATTATTATGTAACACATTATCATATAGGAAAGAAAATAAAGATACTTACGTATTATAGCTATGAATATAAATCTTATGAGCTGTCATTTGTTGTAGTGAAAAAACATGAATTATCATGCGGTGAAGTATATCACTAGTTTCTGCAAAAAACTGGTCAAAACCCCAACACTTTTCCTGATCTGCCTCAAGGATGTTTGCAAGAACAGGGGTAAGTAGAACTTGCAGTCCCCTAAAATAGTATTGAAAAAAGTTGAAGAGTGAATGTGATATATTCTGTCTAGGTACAAAATCATAATATTTACCAACAAATCAAAGAAACTATTACTATTAGATTAATTTAAAAATTTTTTTAAATCTGCCAACTTTTCAGAAAGCCAGGTAACCTTAATTTAATATTACTTGTCAATAAATCAGGAGTCATGGTATTTTTATGTTAACTTATCTTTTACTGATTTTGATTTGCTCCTTTCTAAGTTTCCTCACTTTTCTAAACACATTATAACACTGTACTCGTATATACATAGTGAATCCAGGTGAGATTAACTGATTAGAACCAGGTGGTCATGAGGATAAGATAGTAGTTTAATTTCAGGGTCTTTCATGTCCTGTTAATGTGGTATGGCAATATTTAATGTTTTATGTTGAATTTACATGCCTTTTGTAGTATACTTCTGTGAATGAAAAAAAGGGCTATGCAATAAACCTGACAAAGTTCAGGGGGGCCACATGGTAGGTCTGATAAGCTCATGACCAAAAGTAACCACACAGGATGGTCTGATCACAAATTCCTAACTGGGCAGGTCATAGCTGGTAGTCCCATCGCAGGCCTATAGCTTCCATAGCAAAGGGCAATCTTTATCTTTGGTGAACTCTGTTCATTCTTCTTATGTACCTAGGATAATATACCTTTGAAATATCAGAGTAATTTTCTTTTCCTACCCCTTGAAGGCACAACTGCCAGCACCAGAGCACAAGACCACTAGAGCAAGAGACCACAGAACCCCTCATTGTTATCTTGTTCCCTGCATACCATCTTTATGTGATGTAAATGTTAATTATTAAATATCCTGTACCCACCAATGTAACGGAGGTAAGTGTTTCTCCATTTTGCCTTTTACCCAACCTAGAGATTTCCCTGCTATGCTTTCTCCTGTCAACTTAATCTACCACCAATGGATTTCATGCACCTTCCTTTCATCTTCTCCTCTGATTCTAAAGCATAAAATAAGCTGGAGAGCTGCCCTTCTCCAGAGCATTTGAGATCTTGCTTCCCAGCATATACTGTCATTTTGTCTCAAATAAACTCATACAAATTCTCTACAGGTTTCGATGTTTCTTACATTGACAAGGAAGTAAAATTACTATAATCATCTAGCAATCAATTAGTGTCAATTCAAATAGGAATAATTTTTTACTAATAAGCTTAAATATTTTAAAAAATGAATGAAATTACTTTTATTCTTTCCCATGCTTTCACTGAATTATAACATATGCACAAAAAGACTCTCAATTATGGAATTTCAAATAGTCTTAAAAATATATTCTTGACTATGTGACAAGCACTGGGACAATTCCTTATCTGTGAACAGTTTTTAGAATACATATGGATATTTAAAATTTTTGCCTAACAGGTACCTATATTCTCCCTCCTTTTGTAAGAAATCCACACCTCTCCTCTCTAACCCTACGCCCTGTGCATAGATGGACACAGGAGCCAGGTTTGGTTATGATTAGTCAGAGTTGGCCAGGTGGTAGCATATAGGTTAGTTAAATGAGAATCAACCCAGAAATCTTTGCTAAAACTATCAGGAAAGAAAGTCTTTTTCCCACTGAGTTTTCCAAGCTGTGAGAATGTGAGTCTGGGAATGTCAGCAGCCACCCTGTGGCTGCCAGGAAAAAGCCTGACTGAGAGGAAAGAGAAATCAGAGAAAAGCACATCAGAAAGATCTGAAGAAACCAAGTATTGATACAATTTGACTCTGAGGATTTAATTGGGCTTTAAGTCACATACACATGTGAACTTTTAATTATAAAGCTAATCTGTTTCCTTTTTCACTTAAAGCAGTTGAGTTAGGTTTTTCTCACTTGCTATCCAGTCTTGACTAATACATATAAGAGGATGGGTATAGTGTAGGAGTGGAGTCAATGGAATTGTAATAGATATGTATGATATGGGAGGGGGGGGGAAAGTGAGGAGGTGGATTGGGGGCGGGGGGCTGTCACTTTTGAGGGGTAAAAAGTGTAACTATTGCACTGTGTTGTACACCTGAAACTAATTTAAAATAAATAAATAAAAATAAAAAATAAAAAAAAGAGGATGATTATCATTTTTTGCAGTTGTTACATTTTTGGTAGCTGTTTTCATTGCTTATTAGTAGTACTTAACATCCTTACTATTTAAAACAAACAAACAAACAAACAAACAAACAAACAAACAAGATCATGTAATATACTTTCTGGTACTTAAGCAATTTTTATCAAAGAATTTATAACTTGGTGTGCTAAAGACTGATTAGGTAAATAAGGCCTGTTACTCTCCTGAAATATGCAATCTGTAGTTCAGATTGTTAAATTATTGATTCTGAGTTTCAGGAATATAACTGCTACACAGAAAGTATTAATTTCCTGACCTTTAATGATTTTTGATATTTAATATTATTTTATGTTAGTTTCAGGTGTACGGTGTAGTGGTTAGACATTTATATAATTTATGAAGTGATTCCTCCCTGATTAGTCTAGTACCCATCTGACACTATACATAGTTATTATAGTATTATTGATTATATTCCCTATGCTGTACTTTACATTCCCCATGACTATTTTGTAACTACCAATTTGTACTTTTGAATCCCTTCACTTTTTTCACCTAGCCCCCCAACCCCTCTCCCATCCGATAACCATCAGTTTGTTCTCTGTATCCATGAGTCTGTTTCTGTTTTGTTTTGTTTTTGTTTATTTTGTTCTTTAGATTCCACATATAAGTGAAATCATATGGTATGTCTTTCTCTGACTTATTTCACTTAGCATAACACCCTCTAGATCCACCATGTCACAAATGGTAAGATTACAATTATTTTATGGCTGAGTAATATTCCATTGCATATATGTACCGCATCTTCTTTATCCAATTGTCTATTGATGAGCACTTAGGTAGCTTCCATATCTTGGCTATTGTAAATAACACTGTAGTGAACAGAGGGGTGCATATATTTTTTTCAATTAATGTTTTGGGTTTCTTCAGATAAATACCCAAAAGTGGAATTGCTGCTGACCCCTTTAAATTTTATCCATTTTGCCTGAGATCATCAAAATGAGTACTTTCTAAATCAAAATTTAACACAAATCACTATTATAATATTAAATTTCTGCTTTCCAATAAAATTAATTTATCCTGGTAATTCTAGCCACATGACACAATTTTATTTTGAAAATTTTTATAAACAAAAATGAAACTGTCAAGAGTGGTTTTCAAAAATGATTTTAGCAGTGGAACTTTTGGTGTAAATGAGTTTTCACAGAAATACATAAAATGAGGTAATATTTTATTAGCTTATTATTTGTGTATGTATGTATGTATTTATTTACATGTTGGAAGTCATACAAAAAGCACCAATAAATTATAATAGGTTTTAAGCCAGTAAATCATAATCTGTATGGGTATGTTCACTTACGGGTTATACAATTATCACACTCAGAAAAAATGGAAGTTAACTCATTAATCACAAATTCTAAATATTGTTGAGTGTCTTGGCTTTATTACTCGAGTAAAATCTAAAATCATTTACTCTCTCCTTTTAATGTCTTTTACCTTAAATCTTTCTTTGTGATAACAGAATTCATATCTGAAATAAAATTTTTTTGAGCTCTGGCTACTAGTAAATTAAATAAGACCCATATGAACATTTGAAATGCTGGAAAAAGGTAGAAGAAAACTATTATTTCTCACCTTTTGAGTAATGTGAATAAATTTTTTTAAATGAGGATATATTAAACCTCTTGAGTGGTTGTGTTTTAGAACTCTAGTTACTCCTACCTATACCACAATTTGTGGTCTATCAATGTGGAGGTTAGTACAAAAGATGCTAAGGCCCTAAGCTGGATTCCCACACTGAACAGAAAGTTCTAAGGCTAGTGATTAGCAATCTCCAAATGTACACCCTATGTCTTAACAGAGGTCTGGCAGAATTATTTATATATTTATAATCAATCTTTACATTGCCACAAAGACAAAAAATAAAAATCACAAATCAAAGCATATGTTTTAATAATATCTAATAAAGCAAACAAATAAAAAACTACACTTAAGTATTTGTAATTTTAGTTGACAAAGATTCTAAACACCAAAGTGCAAGAGAGGAGAACTCAATATACTATACTGACCGAGAAAGACTACAAGAAACAGGCATGTCTCCACTCCAGTCAATTGGTCCATTTTCTGCTTTCTGTACTCCAGATATTGCACCAGAAGGCTTTCCAGTAATTATTTTATACCTTGGGAGGAATAAAAGCAAAATAAAATAAGCAGTTAATTATTGCATATCTTTCAATAGGCTTTGCAAAAGTATCTCCTCAGGTGCACCTACAATTATCTACTAGATGAAACTTTGTGACTGATGTTCACAGGATCCATAAAACAATCAAAATAGTTTGAATCTGACTGACTGAAGTGGAATAGTGGTTGTACAATTATTAATAGTGGCTGTATGATTATTCTGAGTGCCATATAACAGCATCTTGATGTTCACAACAAAAATATTAATTTTTCCATCTGAAAAAATCGAGCAAACACACAAAAAAGTTATGTTACAGAATGTCTCTAGATCGTGAAAATATCATCTAATTTTGTTTATCCATATTATCCAAAGGAACAGTCAAGTGGACTATAAAATTACTGCAGAATGAATAACAGCATTTAAAAAAAAAGATAAAACTCTACACAGCACAGTATCTGAAAGATTCTTTGTATATTGAAAAAATACATACACATTCAGGAATAGATGTGTTGAAAGTCAACACAAAATTGAAAGTCAAATTTAAGTTGATTCTTGATGAAGGTCATAAAAATAAAGATAACTGAATAAAGAGCTGGATGGGAAAGGAAAAGAATACTATAAGGATGTAGCAAGTCAAAGAAAGCAGCCTTTTAGATTTCAACACTTTCCTAAACAAAACCAGAAAGCAGGAGAGAAATAAGAACTCCATACCTTCAAGAATACGTTTACCCAGGTGAAAATGTAAAACACAATATGGCAGAATCTAATATATAAGTTTATAGACATTATTTCTGACATAATTTTCTTTTTGGTCAATGTCTACATAAATGTACTCTCAGCAAATCAAGATATTCTTAAAAAATGTAGAACAAACCAGTACAACTGGTTTGGACTGCTTGCTGCTTCTTCAGCAGAGGGAGTCAGGATTTCTGTCTTAAGAGATTTTTCAAGAAAGAAGGAAATTAATATGAGAAAAAGTTACATTCACATGAGAAGAATCTGACTATGGAGGAATAAGTAGAGATGTGAGATTAATGCAAAAAAAGAGACATGAATAAAACAAATGGCAGAATTCTTAAGGGGATGCTTATAAATTCTTGAAAAAGAATTTAAAATAATAAACATATTCACAACATGTAAATGAGATGCAAAGGGATCAACACTGCTATAATGTGAGATGAATGCATCATTCCTCAGTAAAGTAAAACAGTCATTATACTACTTCAAGCAACTCTGAATATTCATGAGCATCAGTGTTCATAAAAAGTTAAGTTTCTGTGCAAATAAAGAAATAAATTCTTCTAATGTTATATCTGACCACATGGTGGTCAGACAAAATCATCAGGTATTCCTAGGTGCTTATGAGTCATATGTTTCCTTTATTAGGGAGTATCATACTTTTATTTAATCCATTTTTAGGGCAGCAAGAAATGCTGATCTTGCTTTAAAACATATATATGACATTATTAACTGTTAGGCACAATTCATATTTAATGAGAAAACACAAAATGATTCTCAGCCTTCCTTAATTAAGAGACTTTATAAAAAGGGCACTGCTGAAGCAGGCTCAAGATGATGCTATACCAAAATCATCAGTACAGTAGTAGCTGTCTTCTTCCCATGAATATGTACGCTGTCCTTACTGGAAACCATTTAGATACCCAGGTTTTGGCAAAAGTCATCACATCCGCTGAATTGGTTTTACTTCCTCAAACCAACAAAGGAAAAATATACCTCTTCCCTCAATTTCCTGAGATGAGACTCAAGATTATATTTTTACAGGTGTGATTAAGTTATGTTTGCTTATAAAAGGCAGAGTCAAATATATAAACGTCTGAGAGAAATGGTAAGATCAAAACAAATGGTTGGACACACTGGGCGTCACTAAGATAGTGTCCCAAATCATTCACTAAACTAAACGGCACTCATAACCTCATAGTTTTATGTGTTCATGGACTGGCTGTTTCTTATGAAGCAGTCATTCACTAATTTCTTTTAAGGTAAAAAGATGTGTGTAGTAAATGTATGGGTGAATTTTATAGTAGATTTCACATCTAGAACTCCATCTCTCTTTTCCTCCATTATTTGGTCTGCAAAAGTGATTTTATACAGTGATTATTTCCTAATAATTATGGCAGTACATAAATGCATAACGCACTAGTGAAATCCATTCAGTCTTTATACCGAAACTGCAACACTAGGAAATAATTCAGTATTACATTAAATGTTATTTTGAAATGGTAAAAGAAATCAGATTAGTTCAGGGTAAGAGTTCTATTTCTTTTAGATACAGTAATAGTTCTAGTAATCCACAGATGTACTATTTTTTTCGGTTATATGAAGGAAAAACCTTAATAAGTACACAAAGGGAAATAAACAGTGTGCTGAAATAAAATCCAGAAAGCAATATATTTTTACTGATGTACCAAAGACTGGATACCATTTATACTTTGTATATAAGATATTTAAACACAATATGAGAAACTACGCCTATACTTTTATAAAGCTGCAGTCTTATTAAAAACGAAATAGCTTAAAATATCAGAAATGAAGGCTAAATCGATTTCATTAGCATATGCCTCTAACATTTGATACAACAAAATAAGATAAGATACATTTAAAAAATCGTTTCAAATTTTAGATACAGAAACCACTTACATCACTTCCTTATTCCTACGTGGCCCTTCAAATGGTCTAAATGGCAGTGATCCAGTAGCTGCGTGGTAAAATGTTACCCCAATGCTCCAAAGATCAACTGTTGCTCCATATTTCTTCTGATGATCTTTTCTTAGCACTGCTCTCTCATACATATCAGGATGCTTAACAAAAAAAGATGGAAAAACTACTAACTTGTGTTCTATAGCAATACATTATACAAAAATGGGGATTCAATAGTGCCTAGAAATTCTATCATATTTTCCTAATAATTTCCCAATCTGAAAAGATTATTTCATATCTTCCCCTCTCTCCTCAAACCTCCAACACCACCTCATTTGACCCTCAATTTTGATGACCTGACTTCGTACGTCAAAGAGGAAATAGAAGCAACCAAAGAATCAATGCCTTTTATCAAATACCAACCTACCTGAGTTTGTATCCAGCCTCCAGGACTACTTTCCAGTTACGATGAAACTGCTCTTTTCAAAGGCTAACTTTTCCATCTGTGTTGTGGAGCCCATCGTATGGTCTCACCAATGCTGGAAATCAATTCCGCAACTGTCCCTTTTATTTTATGCATCAATTTCCCTACCTCTACTGGATCATTCCTTATATACACACTTTAGTATCTCCCATAAAAAAAAAAACAAGAAACAGCCCTAAATTAACCCCATAACCCCTTCTAGTCATCACCCAATTCTCTGCTTCCCATTATAACAAAACCTTACAAGATAGCCGTCCACACTTATAACTGCCTTATATCCCACTCAGGCCTGTGGCATTAATATTATGTGTATCCTTTCACTCTAAAAACTACCTCCTGTCTTAAGCTCAGGATTTCTTTAATGTCTAAAAGGCAGCTGAAATCTAACATATCCAAACAGACTCTTGGTCTTCCCACTCAAATTTGCTTCCTCCTAATCTTTATCCTAAGTGAACAGTACCATCTATCCAGTTGCTCATACCCATAGCCTATCAGGCAGCCTTGATTCCTTTCCCTCATCCCTTACATGCAATCCTTCAGAGCAAGTCATCTGGGCTCTGAGATGAAAGCTGAATTTTCTAGAACTAATTCAGAGGACTAGGCTGGCGGGGTTCGTCGGGGATCTAGCAACCAGGACAAGTAGTTGGTCTAATGTTAAACACATGTCCTTAAGCACATGTCCTATACTACATTTGCAGAGAACAAATGGGTCTTACAGGACATCCTTAGCAGCGTACAGATTCAGAGATTATGATGGACATTAAGCTCTGCAGGGAACCACCAGGGGTCACACATGCTTGGTCTCCTGACATTTGCCTTTTTGCAAGTTATGCCCTGGAACTTGAAGGTTCCTGGAAGGTAAAGCTACAGGAGTGTACTCTGGACCAAAGCAGAGTCAGTCATCCAAGGATGCCAGATGAAAACAGTGCTTTATGACACCTGGCTGTGGCCCAAGGCACTGGGAACCAATGCACGGCACACTGCTGGGAGGTGATGCGGTCTATGAATCTGCCTCCCAAAGAGTCACAATCCCTGGACTTTTTTGGAGATGGGGGCAGGGGTGAGGTGAGACTCTTGGGAAATACATTTTAATGAGAAATCACAAGCAATGATATGCACAAGGAGTTTGAAGCGAGTGTCCAAACAAATGTGTACCAGATATATGGGGTCCGAGTGGTTTTACTGGTTCTGTGGCAGAGCACACAAAGTAGCTATTTATTGTCCAAAGAAGTGCTAGTGAGACCTCAGACCTAGGAGTTGGTACTTAGTGTATAAATGGTGCTGTGAATAGGCCAAGAGTCCTGGACATGCCTGATACCTTCTGGAATATGAGGCCGCTAATCTGGGCAGAGGAGATGAGATACAGCGATTCTAAGAGACAAGGGGTCTCCTCAAATGGTGCAATAACATGCTACCTAATCGGTAGAGTTGGAAGGTATTCCCTAGACAGCGACTGACTGCTGGGCTGGCATGTGTGCCACATGGCTCTCTCCTGTATGTGCTACTTGTGCTTGTCCAGGGCTTGGTTTTATGGGGCCTCTGCACCTGGAGCAGAAGCATAAGGATAGAGCTACTGCCAAGTTCCCAGATTATGTAATTAAGATACCCATCATATTAAAAACGGTGGAAGAAAAGTTGGTGTTTTCTTTGGACTTTAACACACAAAGGGGAGAAGATTTAACATCTGGCCTGGGAATTCCAAAATGAGAAGTTTTCATTGAATTATGGAAATATTTCTAGATTGCTGAGCTTCAGGCTATAATTTATCTCATGTTATAACTTCTGGTGCACTGTATATGAAAATGGGGCTGGGCATAATCTGAAATAGGAAAAAGATTAGAGTAAAATTTCAGCCTACAGTACAGCATTGACTTGGAGTTCATTTATTTAATGTTTTGTTCTTTCCATTTTAAGTCTGTTGGAGGCAAAAGCTAAACTGTGATCCTAGGAAGATGCATGGAAGATTAATAGTTGGTAACAGGGGATCAGCCTCATGAAGGCTGGTACAGGACCACTGTCTGTTTTGGTCATCACAGTAACTGGGAACGGCTACTGGTATTTAGTGGGCAGAGACCAGAGATGGGAGACATCCTGCCAAATATGAGACAGTTTTGAAAAACAAGCTTCTCGCATCCTGCATGACTTCTGAATATCCTGCCAGACACCCGTGTAGGTGAGAAGTCTGTTTATAATGATCTAACGCCATTGTAACATGAAGTATTTTTGTAGCTACAAGAATGAAGCTATATGTAAATCTACTGTATTTAGTTAGAAACTACCAAGGATTATTCACTGCTTTGGAAAATCATGTCAGTGACACCACTACCACTTGTGATATGTGATTCACAACTTGCAAGTTATCACAGAGCCTGTATTAGAAGTGATGTTACACATAGATGCGAGTTTCTGATAATTTGTTTGACACTGAAGTGCTTCCTAAACTTTTATGTATTAAATACCTTTGATTTTATTATAAATATTTTCCTTTATATTATGATTAAGATATTATGCTATTCCATTAATTAGATACACAGGTTGATTATACTATTTACGAATTTCAAGATACTGAAGGGAACATGCAAAACATTTATTATAAAAAGAGCTGATCATACAGGATTGAAACTACTACCCTGGATGATCTGGCTGTCCTCTGCTTACTTCTCCAACTCCTACCACCTGCCCCTGCACTTACTAAATTCCAGCCAAACTGCCATCTTTTCTCTCTCTCCAGCATCCCAGGTCATTCTTGTTACTAGGCCTTTGCAGTTGCTGTTCCCTCTACTTGTAATGCTCTTTCCCCAAATCTCTGCATGGCTTACTTCTTTTTTCATTTAAGTGTCAGTTCCTTTGGGATTGAAAGCAGGCTTTCCCTAGCTATCTTTCTCCTTCGAATCACTCTTCATCTTAGTATCTTATTGTCTTTGCAACACTTCAATTATTTGAATTTATCTTATTTACTTGTTTACTTATTTTCCCCACTAGAATGTGGGTTCCATAAGAGCAGGAATCGTGTACATGTGGTTTATTATTAAAGTCCCAGTGGCTAGAACAGTGCCTGATATACAGTATGCACTCCATAAATATTTGTTGGATAAATAAATGTAATCCTTTTTAAGTACTCTTATTAAAAATTATCAAAATAGGGCTGGCCGAGTGGCGCGGTAGGTTAAGAGCTGGCTTGGGACGCCAGCTCGGATCCCACATGAGGGCCAGTGACACTGCCCTCTACAGCTAAGATGATGAACAACAGCTCAACCTGGAGCTGGGCTGCCGTGAGTCGCCAGTGACCGCGTAGGCTGCAGCCCCTGCTGCAGTGGGCTGCCATAAGCTACCATGTGTGGCTGCCAGTGTGAGCGGCTGGCAGCTGGTGTGAACTGCCAAGAGCCGCCGTGAGCAGCCGTCCAGAGGCCGGCGACCGATCTGCCTCACCCGGGAAGAGTGCAATGATAATACCAACATGGGCCAGTGAAGCAATGTCCTCCACAACTAGACTGAAGAACAAAAAAAACTGCAACTTGTCTGTTCCCCTTCCCCCGATTCCCCAGCGCTATTCCCCTTCCCCAATTCCCCTTCGCCAATTCCCCAATAAAATCTTAAAAAAAAATTATCAAAATAATTTTCCTCTAATAAAATGCATTCATGTAAAAAATTATTGAAATATAGCTACAGATTAATTTAAGGTTATATATTGATAGAACAATTTAAGAAACCTGAATTCATGCCAGACTTAGAATAATTGAATAAAGCTATAGGGTCAGCTAGACTTTACTCATGTTATAAGATTACAATGGCAGAATCAAACTAGAGAAAAAGTCACAGAATCTAAAACGTTTAAGACAAAACCCAGAGCCATGAACAATTAGTGATAGCTATATACTATAAACTTCCTGGTTGCATGTTAAATGTACTTACTTTTAAGTATATTTTCTTAAGTTTCAAATGTTTCTAACTTCACACAAACACACCTATATACACCATTTCAACCACAAAGTTTTTCTAGCTTTCTAACATTTCAAGTTAGATCTTTTCAAAGGCATATCATTTTTTGTATGTTTCTAACAATGGTCCTTTCTGTCTTTCAATAACTGATCTCCCTGAATTCTCTCCTGCTTCAGAGTTCTAATGAATTTTGCTCTACAGGGAATACTATTATAATAAGCTTGCAATATATTAGCTGCTCTGATCCAAAAAAGGGACTCCTTACCACCTAGAGGCTTCTGGAGTGAACAGATAGCTTTTTGTTTTAACATAGATCCATAGCATTAGTAAAATTTAAATATTTAGAGTGTTACAAAACTTATGACTTTTAACAGAAAAATAACAGGACCCTTAGACACAAGTATCTAATTCTCTTATTACACACCATGTTGATTAAAATAGAAAATTTAACCTCTGTCATATAAATTACATAACACATTGTATAGTTACTTGGTTGACCAATTACCCCTATTTACAATATATCCAGCTTCATTAAATAACATTATTAGTGACACATGACTTACCAAATATTCTTCTGTGCCATACAGTGAAACAAACTGCTCATCATCTTCTAATTCTCTAGCTGCACCAAAATCTGTGAGTTTGTACACCGACTGTCCATCTTCCCCTATAACACGCATGATATTTCCCGGCTTGATATCACGGTGCACTATGCCATTCTCTCGGAGATGATTCATTCCACCCACTTCAACAATAAATACAAAACAAAGGGAAACATAATATAGGTATCTATGTGTATATCGGTGCATGCTAAATTCATTGATATAATTCATTCATATTCACTCAATACATAAATTGGACTAAAGTCATTTTAATTAAAGAATAGGTAGTATATTTTATATCTCATGTTTGAGTCATAAGAAGTTTTTGAATGATAAGGGTCAATTTGGTCTAAGGAAGAGTCCAATCTGTTAAATAGTATCAGGAAAAGGGAACAAAATGGTCTTAAGCGTATGACTTCCTAAAATACTTTTGGTCATATCTGTGTACATGTAGGCAATCTGCTTCAACTTAAGAAAGATATCTGGGCCGGCTGAGTGGCGCGTTGGTTAAGAGCTGGCTGGGGATGCCAGAGGCCCCGGTTCGGATCCCACATATGAGGGCCAGTGACACTGCCCTCTACAGCTAAGATGCTGAACAACAGCTCAACCTGGAGCTGGGCTGCCATGAGTCGCCGGCGACGGCATAGGCTGCAGCCCCTCCTGCAGTGGATTGCCATGGGCTACTATGTGTAACCAGCAGCCAGCGTGAGGGGCCAGTGGCCAGCAGCTGCCGTGAGCAGCCGTCCTGAGGCCGGCGACTGATCTGCCTCGCCCAGGAAGAGCGCAATGATGGTGCCAACTTGGGCCAGTGAAGCAATGTCCTCCACAACTAGACTGAAGAACAAAAGGACAGCAACTTCTCTGTTCCCATTCCCCAACCCCCCAATAAAAAAATCTTTAAAAAAAAAAAAAGATATCAACCTTTCACCAGTTTCATATTTCTTTACCTTGGGAAAAAAATTCCACAAAAAATAAACTGGACTCAATACATAAAATAGTAAAAAAACTAATAGAAAGAGGCAGTATCAGACTTGTTTCCATAAAAATATACTTCTCATGCTTTTCTAGAAAGGTCATTTTCTTTTTTTTTTTTTAAGGGTGAAGGTTGTTGAAATTAAGCTGTTTTGGTTAACTGATAAGTAGTGTCACTGAGTGATAGTTTAAAACACTTGTTTGACAACTGATAGATGAATGTCTAAATATAAGATGAAAAAAAGTTTAGGGGTGTCAACATTTAATTATGAAAACTCGGGGCCACCAGTATACTTAAGAAGGCATCAGATATCGAACTTCTATTTGATTAAACAGGCTGTAGCATACGTTGTTTCTCTCTCCTTTCATCCTCACCTAAATGGTCTCCATACTGCCGTTATTGTCAAGTGCAAGAACTCCCACTAACCTTACACCTTCTTCATCACTGGGCTTTCCCTAGTCCTCAAATATTGATCACTTTTTTCCAAGATGTTATTCCCCTTGGTTGACATATATATTTTAATAACAGCTTTATTGAGACAAAATTCACGTATCATAAAATTCATCTTTTTAAAGTGTTTTTTAATAATACACAGGCACAGAGTGCACAACCATCACCACTAACTTCAGAACATTTTCATTATGCCAAAAAGAAATCCCAAAACCACTGCAGTCACTCCTGAAATCTGCCCTCCCCTCAAACCCCTGGCAACCACTAATCGGCTTTGTCTCTGTAGATTTGCCTATTCTGGATATTTCATATAAATGAAATCACATAAATGTGGTGGCCTTTTATGTCTCACTTCTTTCACTTAGCCTGATTTTTCAAGGTGCACCTATATTACTGTATGTATCCAGTATGTATCACTAGTTCATTTCTTTTTATGAACAAATGATATTCCATTGTACGGATATACCACATTTTGTTTATTCATCAGTTGATGGGACACTTGGGCTGTTTTCATTTTTTGGCTATTGTGAATATTGGTGTACAAGTTTTTGTGTGGAATGCTTTTAATTCTTTTAGGTAAAAATACCTAGCAATGGAATTGCTAAGTCATATGGTAATTCTATGTTTAACCTTTTGAGGAACTGCGAGCCTGTTTTCCCAAGTGGCTGCACCATTTTACATTCCCACCAGCAGTGCAGGAGGGTTCCGATTTCTCCACATCCTCACCAACACTTGCTTTTGTTTTGTCTTTTCGATTTTAGCCATCTTACTGTGTATGAGGTAGTATCTCTTTGTGGTTTTTTATTTTCATTTCCCTAATGACTAATGATCTTGAGCATCTTTTTACATGCTTATTGTGTATCTACTTTGGAAAAGTATCTATCAAATCCTTTGCCCCTTTTTAAATTGGATTATTTGTCTTTTTATTGTTGAGCTGTCAGGATAAAAACTCCTTATCAGATATACAATTTGCAAAAATTTTCTTTCATTCTATGGGCTGTTTTTTCATTTACTTGATTTCCTGTGAAACACAAAACTTTTCAATGTTGATAAAGTCCAATTTATCTTTTTTTTTTCTTTTTGTACTGTGCTTCCGGTGTCATATCTAAGAAAGCTTTGCATAAAGGTCTTTGGTTTTGAATGTAAAAAACTTATTTTTAAAACTATGTCATTATATATTCACATATACATAAAATTATATAAACAAACGTACCCACATCGCGCAAAACAATTAAAAATTCAGACTCTGGTAGTCCATAGGCATTAGATGGTTCTTCTAAAACAGTGTATAAACTCCCACATGGACAAAATTCCATAATAAGTACTTTATGTCTTGTTGTTGTCTGAAAAAAAAAATCAGTGATTGGGACTCAATATAAGAAATAAGTTTCTATGTGCCATTACTTACCTGATTTCATTTAAATATAGAATTTGCTATAATGATGAAGGCACTTTGAATTGCTTAACTGGGATTTGTTAAATATAAGAATTAACATCTTTTAAATTCCTATTAAAATTGAACTTGTTTTCGAAGACATTCAAGCCACAGTGAAAGCTGGCTAAATCTGAACTAGAAAATCATTGCTACAATGTTATTACAGTTCTTTAAAAATTATTTTTGGGCTGGCCGAGTGGCTCAGTTGGTTAAGAGTTAGCTTAAGAACGTGAGCTCTGAGCAACAGGGCTGCCGGTTCGATTCCCCCATGGGTCAATGACGCTGAGTCTGAGCTGAGTTGTCAACAGGTGACAGGATGGCTCAACTGGTGAGAGCACGTGCTCCTAACAAGAAGACTGCCTGTTCGATGGTGGGCTACGCTCACCCGCAACTAAGACTGAACTCGGCACCTTGAGCTGAACTGCTACCCGTATGGCTCAGTGGATAGAGCGTGCGCTCTTAACAAGGCTGCTGGTTTGACTCCCATATGGTATGGTGGCTACGCCAACCCGCAACTAAGACTGAACACAGCACCTTGAGCTTAGAGGCCACGAGCTGCCAACGGGCAGTCAGATGCTACTGGCGCCCTCCACAATGAAGACTAAAGAACAACTTGACTGGTCCCATTCCCCAATTAAAAAAAAAATTATTTTTAATTTCTAATACATATAGTACCATTAGGACATTAGCTCTTCTAACAAATCTCTTAAATATTTGAAGTTTTTCTCATGAACACTATTTTTACTTCAATGAATGGAGTTCTAGCCTTAAAAACAAACAGATGGCAGAATACCTGAGTGGTCCCTCTCACAGCAACGTTATCGTCTGCTCATTTATATTTGAGCTGCTGATTTTAATGTACCTTTGATTATAAGATACATCATCAATAACAGCTTTATAGGAATAAAGAAATATTAACAAATCACATACACTTTGATTATAAGACACATACCATTTCAGAAACTTGAAAATGTGAATGTGTCTTAAAATCCAGTATTGATCTCCAACTTTTTATTCTTTCTTCCTTTTACAATTTTTTTTACATATCCCCAAAACACTTTTATAATTAATTAATATTTTATAAATTATAATTTATAATTTTATAATTAATTAATATTTATAAAAAATTAATATTTTTAATTTCTCTGTTGAGACTTATAAAGGAAGACATAATTTTGAAAGAAAGAAAACTTGTTTTTAACTAATGAAATAGTATATGCTGATAGTTGAAAATTTGAGAAATACCCATAATTCCATCATCCAGAGAAAATTACGTTAATATTTTGGTATATTTTATTTTAGTTTTTTTATATGTATCAAATCACATTGCAGATACCTAACATTATTTATCATACTGTATACATCAAAGATCATACTACATACATATTTTAAATTGTAATTTTCTCACATAACATTATACATAAGCATGGTCCCAGGTGATTAAAATTTTGGTAAATACCGCTTTCATTAACTACTGTGTACTGAAGAATTAATTTTACCGAAACAGAGAGTTGGCCTTTGTCCTTGGCTACTGGGAGGTAATCGCTAGGCCTCTGAAATGTCCTTCTGCTAGAAGTGTGTTTGTTTCTCCAGGAGCTTTGGCCACATGACAGTCTAACAATGTTTTTATGATGGGGCTTTTAGGATATGCAGATCTGTTGCAACTTCTGAAGTAAACGGAGACTAAAGGTATTATTCCAAACCTGTAGGAAAGGCTGGGAGACTAAAGGTTAGTCATGCAGGCAGTATGTGATCGAGCTCCAATAAAAACTCAACACCAAAGGCTCAAATGAGCTTCCAAGGTTGGCAATATTCTGTGTGTGTTGTCAATGCTCTGAGGGGAACGTGTCCCTGAGGACAAAGAAGATTCATGTTTAGAACCCTCTCATACTCTGCCCTATGGGTCTCTTCCTTTGGCTTGTTCTAATTTGTATCCTTTTGCTATAATAAAACCGTAATTTTAAGTATAGTGCTTTCCTGAATTCTATGAGTCATTCAACATTCTAGCAAATTATCAAATCTGAGGGCAGTCATGGGAAGCCCCTCATTTGTAGCCAGCTGGTCTGAAGTGAAGGTAGCCCTGGGGACTCCTGAACTTGGAGCTTGGGTCTGAATGAGCTGTCTTGTGGCGACTATTCTCTCTGACTGTGCAGTTTGCTAAATTCCTCTGCAGCTGGTGTCAGAAGTCTTGGACAAACTAGGCAGTCTGGAGGGTTATGCTCTTAACCTTGAGTATAGCTAACTCCAAATAACCATCCATCAAACCTTCTAACTTATTTAACCATTCTGTATTATAAACAGGGGAGCAAGGAACATCTTTGTGCGTAAAACTAATTTACATTTCTAATTACTTCTTAAGAAGTAATCACTTAAAAATAAAATCACTATTGTAAGGAATATAAACTGGCAAATTGTTTTTCAAAAGGTGTGATGTTGGGCCAGCCGTGTGGCACATTGGTTAAGAACTGGCTTGGGACGCCAGAGGGCCCCGGTTCGGATCCCACATGAGGGCCAGTGACACTGCCCTCTGCAGCTAAGATGCTGAACGGCAGCTCGACCTGGGGCTGGGCTGCCTCGAGTTGCCAGCGACGGCGTAGGCTGCAGTCCCTTGCTGCAGTGGGTTGCCATGGGCTACCGTGTGTAGCCAAGCAGCCAGCGTGAGCGGCCGTCCAGAGGCTGGTGACTGATCTGCCTTGCCCGGGAAGAGCACAATGATGGTGCCAACTTGGGCCTGTGAAGCAACATCCTCTACAACTACACTGAAGAACAAAACAACAGCAACTTGTCTGTTCCCCTTCCCGATTCCCCAATAAAATCTTAAAAAAAAAAAAAAAAA